AAACAAACACAGAGATTCTACTTACAGAGCAGACACAGCACAGATGTTTCCTTCATCGTCCTTCTCACTCATTTGAGCTTTTTTTCATTTCTCTCACTGACACCAAGTAAAGCCCGCCCTCTTCCTCTGAGTGTGAGCTTTTCTATTGGTTCAAAGACCATGGTGGTGGACATACCTTCATTTGTTTCTCTGTTTAAAGATTCATGTTAAAATTATTAAAACATATAACTATAGGCACATCGTAGTGCCTTAAGAATATAAAAACAAACACACAAACAAAATTTGTTTTTTAAACTGTTATAAAAAATTGTACTTAAACATGAAGGCAGTGTTCTTTAAAATGTGACTAAAGCTAAAAATCAATATAATACATATTTTTTTCTATTCATTGGGAACACTGCACATTATATTTTTCATCGAAAGATGAAGAAAAAAAGTATCAATATTTCAATTACTTTCCACAAAATGAAGGAAATCATATTGGGCTGTTCTAAAAAAGTAGTAGTGTCTGCATTTGTAAATACAAACGTAAAAATTTACTCAAAAAAACTAAAAAAAAATGTTTATTTTAGCATTCTTGTGAATCACTAAACTAATATTTAATTATATAACCACTGTTTTTGAGAACTGCTTCACATCTGTGCTGCATATAGTGGACTGACTTCTGGCACCTGTAAACAGGTATGCCAGCCCAAGATGATTTGAGAACCTTCCAGAATTCCTCTGCATTTCTTTGGTCCAGCGATTGGGCAACTCGATAACCTTGATTTTGTTTGACTGGAACCAAGATGCTGCTCATCCACTGGTGTGTTTGGGGTCGTTGCCTTGTTGAAACTCCCATTTCAAGGGCATTTCCTATTCAGCACAAGGCAGCATGACCTCTTCAAGTATTTTAACAAATTGATCCACGATCCCTGTTATGCAATAAATAGGTCTATCAACATAGTAAGAGAAACAGACCCATATCATGATGCTTGCACCACCATGCTTCACGGTCTTCACAGTGTACTGTAGCTTCAGTGTTTGTGAGTCGTCTGACAAACTGTCTGCGGCCCTTGGAAACAAAAAGGACAATCTTACTTTCATCAGTCCACAAAATGTTTCTCAATTTCTCTTTAAGCCAGTCTATATGTTCTTTGGCAAATTGTATCTTCTTCAGTACGCCTTTTTTTTTTTTTTTTCACAGTAGGACTTTGCAAGAGCTTCTTGCCAATAAATTAGCCTCACACAAGCGTCTTTGATTGTCACAGTACTCACAGATTACTTCAGACCATCTCTAATCTCCCTAGAGAGGCTGAGTCTTTGCCATTCTGGCTATTGTTTGATCAGCTCGAATGGTAGTCTTCCATTTTCTTTCACGTCTCTCTGGTTTGGCTTTCCATTTTAAAGCATTGGAGATCATTTTATCTGAGCAGCCTATCATTTTCTGCACTTCTTTATATGTTTTTCCCTCAACATTTTGATTAAAGCACGCTGTTCTTCTGAACAATGTCTGGCACGTCAGAGAGAACTGCATGTACAACATGCGCTGGCTTCGTCCTTAAATATGGGCCACATGAATGACACATGTTTCTTCACATAATGATTGACCTCACTGATTGAACTCCACACAGCTAGTATTCTGACCATGCTCCCTTTCGTTTAATTATTCAATTACACAGACTCAGGTACATTCATATCATGAATGGTCTGTTGGTTTCTCTGACTCTTCTACACCTACTGGTAAATTATTTGGCATGTAATAATATGATTTATACCAAAAACCCTGACTGATCTGGTTAGTCATGTTGGACTGCTGTTTTGAACACAACGTTAATAAAGTATGTTAACACAGTGAAAACATTTGTTTTAGTATGTCTGTAAAGGTTATCAGTCCTCCAGGTCATGGTAGTCTAAATAACTTGAAAAGAAAAGCATCTGGACTTCTTGAAGTTGCTTGAAGTCGTTTCACCTCTCATCCAAGAAGCTTCTTCAACATTTGTTTTAGTACAATATCAGACTTTCCTCTCATCTCTCGTAGATCTCATCCAGGCCAGTCAAGAGATGTAATCTCTCTAACATGTCCTCGACATTAATTTCTGCCACTTAAATCTGCAATATTAGTCTTTCGGGCATTACCCAAAGCTCATGACTGTAGATAAGCATAGGAACATAGATGGGATGGAAAATGGATAGCTTCAGTTTTACACTTGTCCTGGATTGCCCACCCCATGCATTTCCTGCTCAGAATCATGGCCTCAGATCAGTAGTTGCTCATTCTTAGCTCAGTCCTGCTGCTTTACACTGAACTGCTCCAGTGCACGCTCGAGGTTACCAGCTGATGAAGCCAACAGAACCACATTATCTGCAAAAGGCAAAGCTGTAGACCACAAAAGTGGAGAATCTGAACTGAATCTGTGAAAAAGAGCAAGCCTGGCAGAATCCAGCACAGACCGGAACCAACTTACTGTCAACAATACGGACCATGTAGTTATACATTAACTTTATAACTATGGGCACCCCTCAGACAGTGAATTGGTTAAATACAGAGGACTAATTTCATATGGGATTAATAAAGGTTTACATTACATTATACATCAAATTGCTTTGAGGTCAACTGAAAGTCTTGTTTCACAATTTCAGCCACTACCAAAGCTGTAGTTGGTGAGCCGGTACTTGTCCACTGATTCAGGAGTCCCAAAGCCTAACCAAGACTGACTCCTTCTTCTACTCCTTCCTCAGCTGGATGCACCTTCATTCTCCACACTCTAGTTCTGGAACTACTGCCACAATAGGCACCAATAACCTTAAACCCACAGCTCCCTGTATTTACTTCAACAATGCATGCAAAACACAGCGCATTCATACTCACTACTTCCAGCCTCCTTCAAAATGATATTAAAGCTCTGACCAAGGTGGGAATTAAAGATCTTGTAAGCTATGGTCTTTGATAGATACCCTCACTGTCCAGTGTCTTATCCTGCCACCTCATCTCACTCCCCACCAGGTATTGATCAGTTAACACCTCAGCCCCTCTCTTCCTTTAAATGTCCAGAACATACAGCCACAGATCTGATGATACATCAGAATCAACCAACCAATCAATCAATTTTTGACCTGTGAGCCAAGGTGTCTTGGTGCCATGTGCTTATATTCCAAGTGTTCCAGGTCTTCTTTATGAAGAAAGTATGGAGAAAGAATCATTCCTTTCCCGGTCTCACTTTTGTTGCCCACGCAAGCATTTAAGTCCCCCAGCAGAACAACGTACTCCCCAGATTGAGCACCTTCCGCTCAGTGACCCAAGAAGTCTGGGTACTCTGAATTTCCATTCAGCACACAAGGACAGATGACAGTTGGGACATATTCCCAAACCTATAGGTGTAGGGAAGAAACCCTCTCGTCCACCAGGGAAAAACCCAATATGTAGGTAGTAATATGTGAGGATACAAATATACCCAGCCTTGCCCACCACCTCTCACTAGGTCAACTCCTGGGTGGAACACAGTTCAACCTCTCCCCAGGGAACTAGATCGAGAGCCTGAGCCACGCGTCGAGGAGAGTCAGACTATGTTTCGTTGGTATCCCTCCAGTAGCGGTTTTTGATACGGGAGGCACGGGCGGTTGCCCGGGGCGGCATCACGGGCATCGGCAAAGAAATAAAATAAAATGATAAAAATTGCTCGTATTCATGCTGCCCCGACGTCATGCCAGCGCATATTGGGAATGGCATAGGCACAGATCGGTTTTCTATCGCCCATTTGCTGGGAGTAAGGCCGCCCTTTGTATGCCAGGTGCACCTGCTACTTGCAGCACAGGGAGGAGAGGGTGGGGCGGCGGGGGATTCTCTGGCTGGCTGGAGCAGCATCTAATAACCAACTCGCAAAATAAAACAAAATTAAAACAAACCAACAAACACGAAAACACCAGACATTATAATACAGACTTATAATTTGCGCCGATGTTTTTTTGAAATTCTGTTACGCGAAAAGTGAGCGCGAGAGCCCTCGGTGCGCCTGCTCGCTGCTGAAGTCAAAGTAAACTTTATTGTCATCTCCGCTACATACAGTCCAGTATATAGAGAGCCAAGACGACGAAGCTCCAGCAGTGCAAGTAAACAAACAATAAATATAAGAAGAGTAATAAAATAAATATACACTTTAGGGCCAGGGGTAAAGGGATCAATAAAAATTTAAAATTTATATTTTACAGTTTGATGATTTAAAGTCTCACACACAACCCGTCGAAAGGGGAGGGGGGCGGCTGCTTCCAGATAGAGCACATTTCATTTATAATGTTGTAAATCCAAGAAATACACCCTAGACAAAGTGAATCTGTGAACTAAGGTGTAGATCTTTTAGGTTATGTTGTGGTGATTCTCGAGTTGGGGGATTTGTGTTCATACTGGAGTGCAAAATTAAAACCAATGGAAGATGGACAAGAAAAGTTGAAAGCCATCAGGTGCTCAGTTTAGAAAAAATAGAAAAGAAGAGGAGGAGAAACGAGCAAAAGATACACGTAAGAAGATGTGTCATCCCTGGTTAGGGGCTCTCGTGGCTCTTAGATGGTGTTTTCCTTGTGGCTGCGTACAGCGGAAATGGGGGAGGGTCTGTGCTGGCGGACGTTGGTCACTGGCCTGGTAGCCTGGCTGCCCCTGGGTGGGTCCGGGACGGGCGTGGAGGCTTGGGGGTCTGGGGGTGCTCCGCCCCCGGTCTGGGGTGCTGGCTGGGCCTTGGGGGCTTGGGGTCCTGGCTGTTGTGTCGCCGGAGCTGTGGGCGGGTGGGTGCAGGGGGGCTCAGCCCCAGTGCAGGGGACCTCTGGTGCATCGGCCCAACTAGGGGGCTCTCTAACTGGTGGGGAGGTTGTTATATCTTTACAGGTGGTCCCCTCTCTAAAGGAGCTCACTCTGCAGGTGGGGGAGAGATGTAGGAGAGGTAGAGAATGAACTCAACCTGGGTGTCTATTGTCTTGTGTAGTTTGGGAGATGATTGGAGATGATTGGATGATGGGGTGGGTGAGGTTTTCTCTGGGGTGGAGTTGGGTGGGCTGCCCCGGACTCTGTGGGGCTGGGCGGTGCTGCTGCTGCTGCGGGCCCTGGTCCGGATGGGCCTGGGCCCCCTTGCCCTGGTGGGTTCCAGAGTGTGGGGG